AGAGAGAGAGAGATGGTATTTCCATTTTCTCACATTTATTCTCTAGCAAGAGATTCAGGTGCCTAATTATCAACTCGTGACATGTATTGGAAGATATGTGCCAAGATATTTTATCCTTTCTCCTATCATAATATTCATCCTTTAATGTAGTGGAATTTATGTTTATTTGTGTCATTTTCTTACTTTGTGTTTGCTTTAATTCTTTTTCTTGGGTTTTATCTCATTCTCTTCCTAATTATAACTTAAAATCTTCATTAACTTTTACTTCAAGCTCAAATGTCGTAGAATATACTCTAATTCTTATTCCTGGGTTTTATCTCATTCTCTTCCTAATTATAACTTAAAATCTTCATTAACTTTTACTTCGAACATCCCAATTTTATGCTTTCATGAATCGGTCTCTTCATATGTTCTTATTCTCGAAATTTTACTTGCTATGTAATGCGACTCTTTGTATTTTTATTGTGAAACTTACACATGCTAGCTGAAATCTAGAACTGTATGTGGATGATTACATGTTTAAATGTCTATTTTAAGTTACTGCACATCTCTTTATCCAAACGAGATTATAAAAATTTCTTGCAGGAATGGAAAGATTGCCTTTCAAGCCAGAAGGTTACAACTTTTGGAAATGGCATGGTCATAATATACACTATGTGGAGCAAGGGAAAGGGCAGCCAATCGTTCTTATTCATGGGTTTGGGGCTTCAGCATTTCATTGGAGGTCAGCTATTTCTCTATTTGAATGTTCTTTCTTTAATTTGTAGTAGATCGATTTCATCAGTATTCTTTGGGCTGTGAAATGTTTCAAATGTAGTTATCATATTTCTTCTTTTCCTTGTACTTGGTAATAATAAGAAGGGGTATTACATAACAAAAGCATGCTTTCTACCCATTATGGCAGTCATTCTTTTTGGCTGTAATGTCTAATGTGCTCTTTATAACTAAGCTAATGTGGAGTTTACCAGAGGGACTTTATCCTTTCGTCTTTTTGTCGTTCACAAGTTACTTCAATGAAAGCTCATATAACATCAACTCGTTGATTATCTTATCTTGTATAGTGATGTTAGGATGGAGCCTCCCATTGTGCCCACTAAACCCACCCATAATCACACACTTGTAGTCAGTTTCATGATCACCTTAAAAATATTGGGGTTGATGTAATACCCAGCTGCATGTGAGTGGCAATGTAGCTTGCTGTCCCACTTCTCCTCTTTGATTTTACAGATGGGCCCACTTGGGGCGGGAGTGAAAAAAGCTTCGGGATCGAGAGTGGAAGTGTGGAGTGAGGACAACGACAGAATTCTGTGGTCGAGGGAATGAGTTTTGTACATGAGAAAAATGTAGGGATCAATATCCCTGACTTTTAGGAATCGAGTTCCATATCTGCAAAGGCGAGGATCCCTTACGGATGGGATCGAGTTTCGCCATGTTAGGATCGAGGTTCCTGAAGTTCAAGTATCCAGTTTATTATAAGCTCGGAGCAAGTTTCATTTTAATAACATTTTTAACTTTATTTCACAAACCCAAGTGGTAATGTAAACAAGTATCCCTATGTCTGAAGCAATTTAGTTATGAACAATCAAATGATAGAAGTCCTTTGGGAGGTGGACACGACCCAAGGAATTATCCCCAAGGAAGTTTAGTGTATTTTTCATGACCTCATTCCTTGATAGAACTACAATGCGATTATCCTTTATATCTCATTCCAACTTCTTCCTTTTCTCTCCTTGCCCTTTTTTCTTGCCTTAGTTTGAAACTAGACACAAGTGACAATTCAAAAGGTGTATAAAGTTGTGAACTATAAAATATATAGAAAATCTTGGCATTTAGAAAGTTTGTAGGTCATAAAAAAGATAGAGATACACACTCCATGGTACATGAACCAAAAAATGTGTTGTTGAAAATTGCACTCGAAGCATATGATACCCGATACCATGTCGGAGGAATTGCCGTCCCCTTACTCATGAAACAATGATTTTTGGTATAGGGATCTAGGTCCCATTAATATAGGGTTGAGATCTCTGATTTCCCATATCGAGATCCTTAATAAGGAATTGTCCGGATTCAAGACCATGTGTTTCAGAGCATCGAAACAAGATCTGGGAGCAGAAGCGACCCCTCATTAGAAGATCCCAGTAACTATGGATTGGCCTCTACGTACTCTCGTCATTTTTCAAATGCCCTTGCTATCTCGATCTTGGCATTTTCTAATGCTTTAATGATGGCATACATGGTTGACCATGGATGAGTCTTCTCGCTATCAACCAAGCGCAAAACCTTCATTTGAGGTTTGAGTGCTTGGCGTGAGTACTCCACGCCATTATAAAATTGTGGTTCCAAAACTATGTTAGCCACCTTCTTCCCCTTTCTACTTTTGGCTCACTTGCTCTTATTCCATTCTGCAAAGGAGAGCATAGACTCAAGTCATCCTTTTGGCCCAACATGGACTGGATGTTAAAAAATGAAGTGACAACCTTGTCAAGCCCAGTCTCTCCAACACCCCTTTTATTAGTGAACTTCCTCATTGTCACGAGGATCTGGGTGAACCTCGTCAAGCCCAGGCTCTCAGCACCCCTTTTATTAGTGAACTTCCTCATTGTCACAAGGACTTGGGAGTGGTTACATATAGAAAGAGTCAAGGTCTTTGCTTTCTTGATTGCCCCACTCACGGTGGGGAAGTTGCCAATTGCCACAAACGTGAGGTTTATGCACTATGCCCCGTAAGTGATGCAGTTGAAATGATTGCCTTGAATTATTTGGAGCAATCAGATCGGGATTGGAAGAGGAAGCATTAGTGAGAAATTGTCGTATTATTTATTTATTTCTTAGCAAATCTTTTTTTTTAAAGATTTTTGGATAAAAGAGTCCATTTTTACTGACAGAGCTGTGGTCACCAGCAGCCAATAACCAACGATACAACCATGTTCTAGAGAGAGAAAGTATTGACTAAGAAGAAAATCATCTAGAAAAGAGCACTAGGGGAGCTGAGATCTCCGCCATGCACCTCCAAAAGAGAAAACTAAGATAAAATCTCTCTCTCTCTCTCTCTCTCTCTCTCTCTCTTTCTACACATTGAATATTTCCCCCATCGTCAAACTTTCATTCACCAAATACCAAAAAAACCATTACAATAGACATCTTTTTTTCTTTTCAAAAGTTCCTCTTCTCCCAACGTCTATTCCACCCCTCTTAAGAGAAACCTTCTATCCCCTTTGTCTCTCTAAAACGATAAACCTCCTATTTTTCTATTCTAAAAATAAACTTCCCGTAACAAAATGGACTTAGCTTTCTAAAAGTTTGACTTGCTAAAAAGAAACAAAAAGGGTTCTTATTACGAGAAAAAAACTTAAAAAAATAAAGATTTGAAGCGTTTGCTAAAAACAAAAAATAAAATAAATACAAAATATGATAATTTCTCACTAATACTGCCTCTTTTTGTCCTAATTTGATCAATTTAAATAATATAAGTTTATCATCTTGACTGCACCATCATTCAGTATTTGTGGTGGTAGATAGATTCTCCGAAATGGCTCATTTTATCACCTTTAGACAAACTATGGATGCTTTAATGTCGCAAAAAATCTATTTCACGGAGATTGTTTTATGCCATTTGCATTCTGAAGTCAATCAACTCTGACAAAGATGCAAAATTCATGAGTCCTTTTTGGAGATCTCTATGGAAATTGATGGGAAATGAGTTATGTTTTAGTAGCGCTTATCATCCACAAACTGATGGTCAGGCAAAATAGTAAATAAAAGCTTGAGAAATTTATTGCATAGCTTGGTAGGAAATAAGACATAGCAGTGGGATTTGGATTTATTTCAAGCTGAATTTGCTTTCAACAAGTACTAGAATCGAACTACGAAAAGCCCATTTGAAGTTGTCTATGGATATAACCTAAACAGTGTGTTAGATTTGACTTATGTACTTTATGTCGAGAAAGTTAGTGGCAGGTAGAAGACTTAGCTGACCAAAAAGGTAGCAGGAGCATTAGTCAAGCCAAAGGGCATTGCCAGAAACTCATATGCTCCATACCTGGTCACACAAGTGGTCTTTGGTTCATCACCCTCCGCAATCCGCACTTGGTAGTACCCTGATCGTAAGTCCAACTTACTGAAATATCGTGCATCTCCCAGCTGAACAAAGAGGTCGGCCACGAGCGGGATTGGATACTTGTTCTTGATGGTCACCTTGTTCAAAGCTCGGTAGTCGACGCACATCCGCAGTCTTCCATCGTGCTTCTTCTGGAAGAGCACGGGTGCACCATATGGGGCTTTGAAGGGCTGGATGTACCCCGCATCAAGTAAATCTCTGAGCTGCCTCCTCAATTCTTCTAGCTCAGGGGGTGACATCTTTTAGGGTGCAAATGCAGGGTGCTTGGCACCAGGCTCCAACTCGATTTGGTGGTTCACCTCTCGCCTAGGTGGTAGCTGTTTGGGCAACTCATTCGGCATCACGTCCTTAAACTCCTTGAGGACTTGCTCAATCTCTAGGGGCATTGGTGACTCACCATCTCCTTCCTCATTCACCTTCAAGGCTGCAAGGTATGTGGTCTCCCCCTTCTTGAGACCCTTGGTAAGCTGCATTGCTGATAGCATACCCACCTTGCCCTTCTCACCTTTGGCAGCTGTAACCATACATGGGGTCTTGGTGTCCATGATGCTCACTACCCCAAGATATGGCATAGGGGCAACCTTAGCTGCTCTAAGGAAGTCCATCCCCAATATCACTCGGAAATCATTCATGGGCACGGCTGATAAGTTGACGGTTCCCGACCAACCGCCCAACTTCAACTCCACAGCTTTGGCTACTCCTAGCAGTGGCTTGGCTTCGGAGTTGACAGCCTTCAGCCTACTCGAGTCTTTCTCAAGGTGTAGGCCTAACCTCTTGGCCTCATCACCTGAAATGAAGTTGTGAGTAGCACCTGTGTCCACCATGGGCATGGTGCTCCTCCCATTGAGCTGTATGTCTACATACATGAGCTCCTTGGTGGTCTTGGAAGCTGGTTGGACATCCAATGCCTGTGCCTTGATGGCATTGAGTATCCATCTTAGGCTCCTCCTCTCGGTCACTCTCATCAACCTTCAAGGAGTTTAGAGCCTTCCTCTTTGGGCACTCAGCAGCCCTGTGATCTCCATCACAAATAAAACAACCAGTACGGCGTTAAAAGGGCTTACCTCCGCTCTTGTCATCGAAGTTGCCCTTCTTTTCACCTTGCTTGGGGCCTTTTTGCTCGTCTCCTCCACCTTTTCCTTGGTTAGGCTTGGAAGTCTTGCCCTTGGTCGATCCCTCGGCCTTCTTGGTGAACTCAACAAGCTTCTCTGCAGTGGCCAAGGCTGCAACCCGTCCATGAAGAAGTAAAGCTTGTTCTTCTCGTTCATGCTAGAGATATTGAGCATTAGGGCCGTGAATTGGTTCATATAATCTTTTATGGAACCAGTGTGCTTCAACTTC